GTTGAATAAATAATAAAATAAACTAAACTAAATATATCGAAGGAAATAAAGTTGCCATTTTGCTAGGCAATAAAGTTACTGTGTCAATAAAATTGCCAGACCTGCAGGCAACTAAATGGACATCTATGATCTATGTGATTATCAAAGGCAATAAAATTGATATCTAAGGATTTACATAATTGATCAATGGCAATAAAATGGACAAAATGATTTTTATAAAAGATCTATATGGCAATAAAATTGACTTCATATTCTACCAATTAAATTTATCTAAAATTTTACCTATCACAACATGTTACTTCCTGTTATTAAATTATAGTTACTCTAAGTTTGATAGGCTAAGCGTAGAGTTAATAATATATAAAAATATTCAAATCTAAAAAACTTTGATTAATTCTTTAAAATAATGCAAAAAAAATTAATTAAACTGATTATATTTATTTTATCAATATATGCTAACTATTTAAATTATAAAAACAATCTATTATTAATATAATTTTACATATTATAATTATTCATTTGATTTTAAAACAATTAAATTTACAAATATTTATTAACAGATTTTTTAAGCTTTTATAGGTAAAATTAAATTTTATATAAATATAATTCAATTAATATATATTAAGTTAACTTTTTCAAAGTGAATTTAAAAATCATATTTTTTGAATAGAAATTTGACCAATATTATTTAACAATTTAAAAAAGTAATATAAATCCTAAATGTATCTTGAAAATGATAGTAATTTTCTTAAAGAATTACAAAAAAAAAAGAAAAATAATTATACTTGATTTATATTTTATCATTATATTAAAAATTAACTTTTTCATTTATTTTAGATAATATCTTATTAATAAACTTTTATTAAAATATTATAATATTATTTTAACAGATAATTATTTAAAGTATAAGCGTAAAATACTTTTAGTTAAAGCTAAAACTATGCATCAGATCATGTGATAAACATAATATCAATTTATGATTGATTAAAATTTAAGTATAGTTGATCAACTAATTTGAACGTTTTGAACATTCTAATAGCTTCTGTTACCTAGTATTATATAAATTAATAAATATTAAATGTCATTATATTTATTTGTAAGCATTAATAAATATTATTTTTTATAGTTAATAGTTCAAATATTAATATTTGATAAAATAACATTATTATATATATAGATTTTTAATAATCTTTTAATATATTAAATAATTTAGTATTAAGAATAATTTTTTTAATTATGATACAAATTATTGAAACTGTTTTACTAACTATAAAATATTTATATTATATTTTTCATATAATTTTGAATATAATATATTTACTTAGTTTTCAATTTGCTGAATTTTAAAAAGATTTTTTATCTGCTATAATTAAGATTATTAGGTAAAATTTAAAGGTTTTGAAAATCTTAAATAGTAAAGGTAAAATTTAGCAAAATTATATTAAAATCTTATTAATAAAATCTGTAAAATTCTAAAATGATAAAACTATATCAAAGCTTATAAAAATGCAAAAATATATCAAAATCTTAATAAAAAATTAGTGAAATTAAAAGTTTAAATGTTTTGTCAAATTCAAAATAAGTTTAAATAAGCAACTTTAATCATAATACATTATTTGAAAATGTTTTTATATTAAGATTTAATTTATTATGTGTAAATTTTTTGAAATTAAATTATGTTTGAAGAATAATTTTTATTTAATTAAAAGATATTAGGTTAAATATTTTATTTTTTAGGTAAGAATCAAAATAGTTTAGATTAGAATTAGGATTAGTTAAAATTAGGGTTAAAAGTATTATTTAGAGAATCTATTAAAAAAAATGATAAGTTATATATAATTCTTTTAAAGAAAGAGTTCAAGGTCATCAGGTTAAGAGAAGAGGAAATATAGTAAATATTATACTAAAGATATAGATACAAGTTGACTATATGTAGTATATAAAGATAGCGTTGCAACTAGTTGCAACCGATAATAAATAAGCATCACAGGGTTGTAACTAGTTGTAGCATTATCTTTAGTAGTATAAGTCATAAAAAATTATTAACTTTATTATTATCTTTATGATTCATTTTATTTATTAATTTTATTTTATATTATATTTATAATTAATTTAGATTAATTAAATTTAAAAAATTTTTTGTTTAAGAATTTAATGCTAAAATGTCTTCTATTCAATATGTAGAATCTATCAATACAATTATTTATAAATATGTCAATTCTTATTCAACTCTATTAGAGTATTTTAATGGAATATAAGAAATATTAAATCATAAACTTCAAAAAGTAAAATATTAAGATTATTTGGCTAACCTACCTTTTAGTAATTTTTCATTATTAACCATTCATATCTTTTTAATTTAAGTTAAAAATTTGAGAAATATTTTGATTGATGAGATTTTTTCTATCTAGTAAGTTCAAATTGATATATGTTTTGAAAGTTAATTCCTTTTAATCAATATTATGCTTATGATAACATAAGTTATATTTTGATTTTGTTTAAAAATTATTATTTGTCATTTATTTGATATTATCTAATACAATTTTTTTTAAAATAGATTGATAATTGTGATATTTTCACTTATCTTGAAGATTGTTTCTCATATTTGTACATGTTTACTTTTATCTAGTGAGGTTTGGTTTGTCATCATTTTTTTAAGTGATATTACGATCAATAAATGCAAAATTTTCATTTAGTTTACTAAAAGTCGATGGTACAAGAAGAGTATTGATACACAGAAAATTAATACTTTGAATGTTTCTTTTGGAATTATGATTAATGCTGAAAGTGAAAGATTTGTGAATTTTATGTGTGGAATACATAATAATGATGATTTGAATCAGGATCTTGAAGTTGATAATATGATTAAAAAGCGCCAAATTTATGGAGTGAGACGAAATTGGTAACATTGGCATTTAAATTCACTTTAACACATGTTTCAGCTACTTTACGGGGTTTAATTCAAGAAGTTGAATTATCTAACTATACTAATTCTATTAACAATGAAGATCAAAGAAGTAGTTCTTAATCTACTACAGGTCAATGCAAAAGGAAGGATTCAAATAAAATGGGGAAAGAATTCTACGAGTAAATCCATTAATCGTTCTGGAGATGGGTATACATGTCGCAATTGTTTTAATGATGGCATAATTCACGAAGTTGTAAAGCATCATGCATAGTTATTTACGTTGTTCAAACAACGAAAACATATAATTTATTTTCTTGTATTAGTGCTAGTATTACTGCGAAGTATGTATCTCATTGCGATATTTTTTAAATTCAATAAATAATGATCTGCATACAGCGGTCCGAGGGATGGCATTTTAAAAAAATCATCTTAAATATGAAAAATTAACTATATAAAACAAATTTAATAAATAAAATCTTGTTTTTGGATGAAATATACAATTTAATAAATGTTTATTCTTTCATAACATTTAAATTTTTTTATCGTCACGGTCTCCCTGTACGTTAAGGCAGGCAAAAGTCTGATTCATCATCAAAATTTACGACTTCGAAACTTTTAATCACACCCGACTTTTTGTATTTTTCAATCACTTCCATATTTTCTTTCTTTGTATTTAAACTGTTTGTACAATATCCTGTAATAAGGATCAGAGAAAGTGACTTTTGCGGGATACGATTCGTCCAACCTATTAAAAATTCTTCCAATTCTTCTGGATGTAATTCCGTTCGTACATTATTTATGTAATAAATTTTTAACTCATAAAAGTTATTAGGTGAACATTTTACTACCGTATCTAATAATTCTCTCTCATTCAAATAATCATCTTCACCGCACCAAACTTTAATACTTTTTAGTAGCTTGCAACTCATCAGAATCAATTTTAATGATCCTATTTCATTAACCAGAATGATATTAAACAGCGATTCAAGTTTTGGACAAAATTTTGCTATTGATAAGTTTAATGAATAATCCGAATCATCAATGTAAAGAACCTTTAAATTCTTTCCATTGTTCTCCAAAAAGTTGATCAAGTTTTCATAATTTGGTAATCTATAGATAAGTTGTAATTTTAAAATTTGTAACTGCGGAAATTTAACGAATTGTAATTCCTTGAAATCTTCAAAGGGATTACCGAGATACTGACTATATAGATGTGATAAGATGAGTTCTTGTATATTTGAGAAGGCAGAGATGAAGATGGAAGTTCCACCAATGATTTTTAATTTGGTCAAGGTGTTCGAATGTTTGATCAACGAAGGTATGATGTCGGTAATATCTGTCAGATCTTCGGATTGGATTAATGTTAAATATTCCAAGTTGCGTTGCGATGAGATTAAATCTTTTAACTCTTTTGTAACGGACTCTTCAAATTCTATGGTGAGGGATTGTAGATTACAACATAATTGTGATAACTGACTAAAAAATTCGGAATGAAGGTCCGAACTACAATTTAACTTTGAAAGATTTTTTAAACATAGCGTCGCTCCAGGAAATTTTGTAAATTTTATATTACGTGAGATGCTATCATGATCTGAATAATATTTCAACTCTTGCAAACAAGTAATTTTGTTCATAAACATCTTCAAGATTTCTTGCGAGATCAAATAATTATTATATTTCGAAACAAGTTTGACCATTTGATTAATCCCATGAATTGAAATGACTTTGCAAAATGATACATAATTAAACAATGGGGGATTTGAAGTTGGAGTTGCAATGAAAATCTTATTCGTGTGTAAAAAGATCTTTGATTCATTGGGAAGGCACGCAACCAACGTACTCTGAATTTGTGATAGGAATTCTGATGATCTTTTTAAGACGGGATTATAACTCCAGATATCTCTCCATAAGATGATAACGGAAACTTCACACCAAAGGCGATTGACTAATAAGCATGAATGTAAAGTAACCTTGTCGTCCTCCAAGTATTCAAAAATGTCATTAAGGCAATCAGCGGGAAGTCGTGACATTTTTTTTTTTTCGTTAAAAATTTTATCATAAAATGATTTTTTATTTTTTTTTTTCTTGATCAAGTTAAAAGGAAATCGGGAGTACTTTTATCGTAAGTTCTTTTTTATATGCGACTTGTGTTACAAACAGGGCTCATGCATGCATTTTAATCCTTAATGTATACATGTACAACAGGTGATAATGAAAATCTCGTGAATTTTCTTATTATAGCCTTTTCTTTTATTTCCAACTGGTGGACTGCGTTTCAACATCATGCCGAGACAGAGGATCGTCAATCAATCAATAAATAACACTTCGATACACCTGTTTCCAATCACGGTATATTATGAATGCACATTGTAATATCATTATTGAACCCTTACATGCATAAATTAAACGACGTAATGCTTGGAAATTAAAGTCTTATAAATGCCTAGACAAAATTTTGTTCACGTCGAGAATGTTCCAATGATTGGATATTACGCTTCCAATTTGGCGCTACACGATGATGATTCATGTTTTAAATGGTTCGAGTTTAATATTTTTACAGATTTGAGACAACACTATATTTATCATAACTTTTCTTTGAATTCTCTGCACATTAAACAAAACAATTCTTCCTTCTCTTGCCAATGAACATAAAACAAAAATTTTTCTTTCTCTTGCCAATAAACATAAACAATAATTCTTTATCCTCTTGCCAATGAACAAATAACAAAGGAACCAAACAAATTAAATTTATAAAAACAAATATCTTAAAAAGGACCGATCTACAATTTTTTGTAACGATAGGATTTTTTAGTCGACTTAAACCATTAGAAACTATATTCGAAATTCAACTATTCTCATTTTTAGGGAATCGTCGAAGGTCTCATTTTTTTTTTTTTTAGGAAACTTCTTCGTAGTGATTTTCGATTTCGAATATAAGATCTTACATTAGAATCAAATCGGTTTAAGGAAGAATTACGATACTTGAATACTAAACAAACTCAGGCACATCCAAATATTTCTCATAAACATAAAGATCTCATTTAGTCACCATTAAAAAATTTGTGAAACAAAACGCGATACAAATATTAATTTTTGAATTTCTATATTATCCCTTAAATGGTAAGTATAATAAACAAATATTTTGATATCTAATGATCATTAGATTTGTCATTAAAATGCATCTAATGATAATATTTTTAAATTTTTAAAAATTAATAATTATTAATATAGATCAATTTTTCAACTTTTCAATTTTTAAAAATAAGTAATAATTATTTAAAAATAAAATTTAGTTTATTGGATTCATCTCATTAAGACCTATTAAATGGCAGTATGTTGTATTTTGAGATAGATTGATAGATAACAAGATATATGAGTTTAAATTTTTAGTTTTTTGAATTATATATAAATATATATATATTTTTAATTTTTATTTAGAAAACATCATAAATTTAATATAAAAAAGCATTAATTTTTTTAATAACATATTTTAAAAATAGTTAAAATGATTTTAAATTTGTAGGTAAAACAATTAAAGGGATCGTTATTTATATTTTATATCAATTTTTTTATTCGTCATGCCGTTGATTAATGTTTCTGGGAAGATTTTTTGACAATTATTTTTTTTTTTAGAAATTGGTATTACCTTTTTGGTATAGTTGGTTTAAAAATTGTAGGAGATAGTCTATAATAAGTATTACAAAAGCTAGCAACTTGTGTGAAAGGAAATTGATTTATGTACTAATATAAGAAAGGTCATGTGCGTGAATAAATCTTATCAGCTCTAACCAAAATTAAGTTCTTATCAAAAAACTAACAGATTCGACATTCTATTGGTATATCCAAATTTCGAAAAATCTACTTTTATGGACATTTTAATTTTGTACGACAAATTCTTTCGGTAAAGTGTCCTGTCTCCAATATATTCCTGAATTATCCTTCTCGAATATAATAAATTATTACTCACCCATAGTCATTTAAACCAAAAAAAAAAAATGTTTGAATTGATTAGTTATTTTATTCTAATATTCATAGGTTGGATTACTTATAAAGTATATATTTGGCCATATTATACTTCTCCTTTGAGAAAAATTCCTGGCCCACCTTCTGAAAATTTGCTTTATGGAAATCTTAAAAGTTTTTTCGTAGAAGAAGTCAGTTAATATTTTAATCATAATCGATTTTGTTGTTAATTTATTAATATATACAGTATATATATACATATATATTTAGTCCGGTGAAGCTCACCTTAAATGGTTAAAAAAATATGGAAACTTTGTCAAATATCACGGATTATTAAATGAACCAGCTATTATAGTTACAGATGCAAAATTAATACATGAAATTGTTACAAATCGTGAATTTATTAAACGTAAAATGATAAAAGGGGATCTTATACGCATACTTGGTCAAAGTGTTGCTTTTGTAGAAGGTCAAACTCATAAGAGACAAAGAGAAACGATGAAACCCGCTTTCGCTCATAATTTCGTTAAAGTACGTAATCTTATTGTAACAGATACAATTGTGATGACAGAATAATTAAAATCGTCCCTTTTTAAAAAAAAAAAAAATTTTTAGGATATGGTTCCGTCAATGGTTCAAGTAGCTCTTAAATTAAAAAGGTTGATTGACGATGAAATGAATGAAGATGAATCAAAAATTAACCTTTCTCCATACCTCTTTAAAACTTCTTTAGATATCTTCGGTTTAATTGGTAAGGAAGAAAAAAAAATTTTTTTTTTTTTTAGCTTGCCTTCCTCATTTTTTTTTTTTTTTTTTAAAAAATAAAAATTATTTAGGGTTTAATTACGAATTTAATTCACTAACTTCTCCAAGTGAATTTGCAGAAGCTTTTGACTCTTATTTGAATGCCAGAATGAACTTTTTATACATTAGCATTGGTATTTTATCCCCATATGTCCCATTCCTTAGAAAAGTTCCAATAGAAATAAACAAAAGGTTTAATAATGCATGTGAAGTTATTGAACGTGAATCGGCAAAGATAGTTGAAAAAAAATACAACGATAGATTGAAAAATGAAATTGATTTAATAGCTACGATAATTCGTGTTAATGAAACTTTACCTATTGAAAGTCAAATGACTAAAAAAGAACTAAAATACCAGGTAGCTTAAAAAAAAAAAAAAATTTTTTTTTTTTAAAAGAAATAATTAACATTATCCACTTAAATTTTTTTTGTTTCTTTTTGGATAATTTAGATTATGACAATAACAACAGCAGGACATGAAGCTATAAATAGTACGTTGTGTTGGGCTTTATACTTACTTGCACAACATCCACACGAACAAGATTTATTACGCGAAGAATTGGTTAAAGCATTCCCTGATAAATCAAAATTTAATCTCACATATGATCAAATCAATTCTTTGGAATACTTAAATTGTGTAGTTAAAGAAATATTAAGATTATATCCAACATGTAAATATTTTCAATTTTTTTTGATCAAATTAAAAAATTTATATCAAGGTTAATATTAACTACTATTCATTTTTGTAGTGTCTGTTTTACAACGGGCTAATACTAAAGATTTAACCTTTGGCGAACATTTTATTCCAAAGGTATGTTTATATCATTTTTATTGTTATTTAATTTTTTCTTTCTAGAAAGTTAATTAATACCACTGCTTTATTTAAATAGGGTACTACTCTTGATATTCCAATTTTAGCACTTCATAGATTACCTTCAATTTGGGGACCAACTGCTGATGCATTTGATCCCAAAAGATGGTTAGATCCTTCTTTAATTAAGAATGTAACAAATTATAATTATTTGCCTTTCAGTGCTGGGATTAGATTCTGTCCAGGTCACAAAATTGCCTCAATTGAAATTAAAGTATTATTAAGCGTATTAATTAGAAATTTTGTTTTTCAAACTGTTAAAGAGTTTCCTCTTAAGAAAAAGGCTGGCTTTATTAGTAAACCTGATTCCATTCTAAAATTAGCCGTTTCTAAAGTTGAAATTTAACAAACTTATTTAAAATAATTTAGTTTATTAATTTAGCATATCATTTATAATATAAACATATACAGAATACATATATGACTTTATCAATCTTTGATGAAATTTATAATATAGACAACGACTCAAATGTATTGATTTATGCTTCACATCAAATAAACATAATCACACGGTAAAATTTTAATTCATATGTAAAATTTGTCATATATGCAATTCATTAATCTAAAAAATAAAAAGTAAACTAAAGTAAAATATTTGCTTGCGATGCAGTAATTAAATTATTTCCTTGAAGATAATAAATTAAAATATTAACACTGTAACTGTAATTTTAATCATCGTCAATCTTTACGGTTTCCAACTTTTTAATAATACCCAACTTTTTATATTTTTCAATTACTTTCTTAATTTCTCCTTGAATTTCTAATCTCTTTACGCGATACCTCTTAATAATGATTAAAACAAGCGGCTTTTGTGGTATCCGATGACTCCACCTTGTAAAGAATTCTTTCAAATCTTTTGGAAATAATCTAGAATTTGCTTTATGTATTAATTTTAATTTATAAAAATTTTTTGGTGAAAATTCTGTCAAAATTTCCAACAACTTTTTTTCATCCAAACAACCATACCCACACCAAACTTTAATGCTTTCCAACTGTTGACAATTATTCAAAATAATTTCCAATGAATCAATTTCATTAACCGCGAATGTAGTAGATAATGTTCTAAGGTTCGGACAAAATTTGGCTATGAATAAATTCAATGAACGATCAGAATCGGCAATGTGAAGACATGTTAAATTCTTTCCATTGATTTCCAAAAATTGATCCAAGTATTCACAGTTAGGAAATCTATGAGGAAATTTTAAGATTTGTAATAGTGGGAATGTAACATATTGTAACTCCTTGAAATCTTCAAAATTTCCCATATGATTAAGTGATAAAACAAGTGTTCGTAAATTTGTTAAAGTATCAATACTACATGTTAATAAAGATATAACATCAGACCACTTCACTTGATGAGAACATTGTGATAACGTCAAGTGCTTTAAATAATTCTGTGAAGAGATCAAATCTTTTAATCCATTTGAAACATTTCCTTCAAATTTGATACTAAGGGATTGTATATTCGAGATAGTTGATAAAAGAATTCAGAATAAATATCAGAACTACAGCTTAACGTTGAAAGATCCGTTAGGCAGTCTGTTGCTCCAGGAAAGTTTATGAAGCCGAGGTTGGAAATGTTTCTTATATTCCCCATTGAAAAATAATTCAATTCTTTCAAACAAGGAATCTGTCTCATAAACATCTTTAATATTGTTCGTGATACTAGATGCTTGTTTCGACTTAAGTTTTGTGGTATATCAGTTTCATTATCATCACATTTTTTAATATTACCAATTTTGTATGTAATTTATCCATTTGAATAATGATTGTCCAAATGCAATTTTTTTTAGCTTTTCATAGAATGTTTAAATTTTATCCAAAATTGTAATTAGATCGTTTCATTTTTTTTTTCACACTTTACTTTCTTAATAAAAGCCTAGTATAATAAGTATGATTCTAATTCTACTTCAACAATGTCAATATCAGTAACAAAGGGATGAAACTTGAGTACGAAGCGCTTGCATCGGATAACAGGTTATTTACTAACAAAAAGAGTCCGTTTCATTGTTAATTTTTTGATTCCGGGAATAATCCCATCTTCTAACAATTTACCATTGAATAATGTTTTGGATTGTCAGAATTAGCTTTTGTTTTCTGCGCAGGGTTTATTATCAACCCACAGTTGATATTTTAGAAAACATATAAAAACCTCGAAATTTATCCAAAAAATAATTCGTCAGCTATGTGTTCAAAAAGAAATGTTTCTCGATGAATTTTGAATGAAGTTTCCTATTTCCAAAAATGTTAAAGTGTAATTCAACTCTTGGGCGTTCAATAGGTCAAAAAAAAAAATAACTATTAATGTTATATATTATTCATAACGTTTAAACGACATAAAACTCAATTTCGGAATATATATCTATCTATAGGTTGTTGAATTACAACTTCGTTTTGCGATTTATGATAATATGCCAATTGTGAAATATCTTGCTTCAAAATTGAAGAATCTCAAAAACGTTGAAATAACAATATTAAATTATACATTCAGTCCTAAAAAGAAATGTATGTTCAAATACGCTTCATAACTTGTATTGGTAAAAAGTTTTTATTACAAAATGGATAAGTAATGATTTACAATGAAGTGAATCGTGTATCAGATAAGTTTTTATTATACAATATTTATTAAGTAATTATTGGATCCATTTATGTGGATTTTTAAAACTAAATATTTAATTATTTAAATATGGCTGTAAAAAAAGATGGACAAAGGATAATAATTCAACGAATAATTGAAGACAATGCATTACCATAAATTCCATATGTAATTTATCTAAATTAAATTTTTTTTTTTTTTTTTTTTTAAGTTGATTTACTAATTGTTTTATTAGATGTCTCCATAAATTGGTTCGATTTTTAAATTATCTCCTAAGAAAATAATATCTTTTTGTATGATAGAGACTTTCTTATATGCTTTATGTATCGTTATGCTTATATACGAATGAAGGTTCAACCTATAACTTTGTTTTATTGCTTACATGAAAAAAGAAATTTTTGAATTAAAATATTATCCTAACCTAATTTCTATTTAGCTTAAAAATGATAAAAGCCTTCGATCAGACGATCGCTTCGAGCATGATTGTTCCAAAATCCTGCGACTTTTTTCTCGTCTCTTCAAATCAGATCATTTGCGCTTTTTTTTGCAGTGTCTTCACTTCTACTACTTCTACTGCAAATTTCAATTTGATCATAATAAAATTATTTTGATACGTCTAGAAATAAACAAAAGTTTCTTACATAAAAAATATATTTTATTAGATCTTTACAAACATAAAGAAATTAAAGAAATTTTATATTTTAAATAATTTATCCTTACTTTTTTTTTAAAAAAAAATATTACTATATTTTTTATTTCAATAATCCCGGTGTCAGATTCTCATATGTATGAACTGCATCCTTCTCTTATAAGACTCCTACGATTAGTACTTTAAATTAAGGATTGGAATCGATCTAGCAAAATCGAATTAATTGAGATCTATTTTTAGTGGAGCAATGTGTGTAGTTTGAACGATTCACCACAAAAGCAATGCTTTAAGATATTGTAGAATTAATTAGATCTGAGAAAAATAATAACAGAATGATCAAAAAAAAAATGAAAACAAAAAAAAGCCTAACCTACAAAAATGAAGAAACTTATAAATAAAAAGATCAAAAAAATTAACAATGGAATGATCAAAAAAAAAAAAAAATGCTTACCTAATCCTTCTGAAGAGATCCAACTCGAAAGAGAAATCTTATCGCTGCCGAACCAAAAAGTGAAATGATTTTAACAAACCGCATACACCCGAAACAAAAAAAGAAATTTAATTATTAATAATGAATAATTTTTTAAAATAAAATAAATTTTCATTCGATCTCTGCGAATTCAAAAAAATAAATAAATAAATAAATAGTAAAAAAAAAAAAAATTACAGATGATTGGTTTTTGAAAAAAAAAAAAAAGAATGCTAAAATTGATACACCATTAGAATTACCTGCTTTTAAGTATATGATATCCAATTATCATAAAATGTAAATTTATGAAAATTTTTGATAAAATAATATTATTTTCTTTTTTTTGTAAATAACATTTTTTTCGTTCAATTTTTGATTAAAAAATCACTACGCCATAAATAAAATCAATTGAAAATGGAATTCCAATTTCAGACACCCGAAGATCGTCTGAATTCCAACTTCAGACGAAAATCAATTTCAGTCACAACAGATTAATAGAAACCAAAAATCGAATCTTAGAATTGAAACTCGAGAAACGAATAATCGCGATTAATCGATTCTAAAATCGAAACTACATGCTTGAATCTATTCCACTCCCTGCTTTAGACAGCAAAATTTCTTATTTGATCTATAAATTGTATCTGGAAATTCTCTGCATATTACAATATAAGTATCAATTACATATGACAACTTAATTGTTCATGTCCTTTAATAAATAAATTTGACTCCGATAACGAGGGTGGGTTTAGGAGTTTTAGCCTTTCGACTATTTACAAATTAGTATTTTCTTCGGTTGTCTATTTTGGAATAATTAATTAGTTAAAATTTCAAATGAGCCGTAAAAGACAAATTTCTGTGTATATTTTGTAATATCAAGAGAATTTATATGCTAATAAAGAACGTTACCGACAAACCTCGTTTCCGTCTTTGAAGAAATTTAACAGATCAGTACATCTGTTACGCTATTACGCCAGTTTCTGTTCAAGTTTAGAAAAATGAAGATTATCGGTTTCGTCAAAGAATCAACTCTTCTAAAACAGCGTTCTAAACCATGACCATATATCTGAAACTAAAAACCATGTGGTTTTTAGTTATTGCTTGCACCTAATATAATATTCGTTAACGCAATGAAAATATAATAAAGAATCCTTTGATTTAATTACCTTTACACTTATCCAATTCAGCTGAAGTTTTCTTCTGCCTCTTCACGGGCTTTACGATCGATTTCTGATTAAGCTTTATCAGTAGCAACTTCTTTTCGCTATAATTCATCAGCTTCATTTTCTTTTTCTCTGCATTTGATTTTTTTTGATATGTTGAGCAACGTCGCGTTCATTTTTGCTCGGGTTGTCTTTCAGCACCTTCCTGATCGCGTCTTTCAGATTCCTGTTTAACGACATGTTCATAGAATTCAGTTTCTTGACTTGGTTAAT